TACTCCAATGCTTTGTTTATTATTTGCATCTGATTTCAGAAAGTGAATGTCAATGTCTTTTGCATATTTTAATATGCAGAAGTTAAATCAAGGCTAAATGTTAAGAATGGTGTGAAGTGGGGAAACTCAGTGTTTCTATATGAAAATAAGAATGGTGGTATAATTTTCCTGGTGTTTCATGTTCCTAGAGGTTCTTTTAATAAATGCTGTTTATTCTGGTTTTCTCTTTTGGCTCAATCATTTTTTTTTTTAACAAATATCAGTATTTAAAATGACATCTTTTTCCTAGAAACTCTTTTTACATTTATTATTTTATCTGTGAAGCTAACTTGATATATTATAGATTTTCCCCTGTTTCATAATACTTCTTGATTTTTTTATACCTAAGGAAAACCAGAAATTGGATTCACATTATATTCATCTTACACTTATTGAAAACGTGTCAGCTCTCAGAGCCTCAGCATGCTCTTAGGTTGACAATAACAATGGTACCCACCTCCTAAGGTTGTGGTGTGGATCTTCTATGTAAAGTGCTTATCACAGTACCTAGAACACAGTAAGTGCTCAATAAATGTTCCTGGGAGAGGTAGGATGTTGATGCTGAAATGCCATCACCCGCTCCTGTTAAATACAACAGCAAAATCCCAGTATGTTTCAGATCAGAGAGACAAACTGAATTGTACTTTATCCATTATGGAGGTTTATATTGCTTTATGTAAAAGATGTTTTCATCACAAAGCTGTAGGTCATGTGTTCTCACTTATATACATAATTTCATCATCATTTTATCATCCTCACTATGATCAAGTAGTAGTGGATCCTAACTCATCAGCTTGCGGTTTCTCTCATGTCCAAATTTTGTAAAAAGTAGGCACTCTTGGAGATCCTGAAATGCACTGAGGCAGCTTTCTTTTTTTTTTTTTTTTTGCGGTACGCGGGCCTCTCACTGTTGTGGCCTCTCCCATTGCGGAGCACAGGCTCCGGACGCGCAGGCTCAGAGGCCATGGCTCACAGGCCCAGCCGCTCCGCGGCATGTGGGATCTTCCTGGACCAGGGCGCGAACCCGTGTCCCCTGCATTGGCAGGCGGACTCTCAACCACTGTGCCACCAGGGAAGCCTGAAGCAGCTTTTGTAGTGTCAGCTCCTCCTCCTTCTCCTCTTTGGTGCATCAAGCTCTGTTCTAGGTGCTGAGAAGGGAGAGAGAAACAAGACCCCAGAGTCTAATAGGGGAGAAGCATAAAATTAGGCTGGATAAAATAATAAACAGTAGTACAAGACACAGATGAAGCACAGTACAGGGAGCGGTGGAGGGTCTGAGGGCCATCGGGAGTTTGTCTAGAAGAGCTGGGTTTGGAAAGATGAAAGATCTTCACAGATGGGAGGAGGGGATTCCAGGCAAAGGGACTAGCTTGCAGAAAACATGGTGGTATAAAAAAATACAGTTTGCCATTTTTATATGGTTGGAATTGAAAATGTCTTGTGCTCAAATTTTTCAACTTAAATTTCCATAATGTGTGTTGAGAGTCAAGCGGCTGTCTAACTCATTCCATGAATATTCAGAAAGGAAAGAAAGAAACTAACGTTATTGAGCATCCACGAGGCCCTTGGCTAGGTTACTTCATATGCATTATCTCATTTAACTTCTACAAGTTTTCCAGAGAAGTGTATTCCCATTTTAAAGATGGGGAAGCTGAGTCTCAGTTACATTAAATAAGTGAGGTGTGGCCACACAACCACTACATGATAAAGCCTGAATTTGAACCTAAAGTTTTTACTTTCAAATACAATACCCTTAGAACAACATCACAGTTACCACTGATTCTTAGAATTTAGGCTCAGCACGAAACACAATCTGCAGTGGTTTTTATGCCCTGGAAAGAAGTTTGGGAAAACAATTGGTTTTTCACTGCCATGGCTGACCTTCCCTCTATCACTTTACCACTTTATGGCCTTAACTTTTTACCTATTTATCCCAGATCCTATTGTGCTTATATTACAAATTAATAATAAAAATAAGGAACTACTTGATTTAATTCTTTCAGTGACCAAAGACCATTTAAAAAGAAATGGTATAGGGAAACGACTGTCATTTTTGAAACTTCCAATCCTCTCTCTTGCTGTAGTAGCAGTAAGATGCCTCAGAAATGTCCTCCACAGTATGGTACTGGCACAAAAACAGAAATATAGATCAGTGGAGCAGGATAGAAAGTCAAGAGATAAACCCACACACATATGGTCACCTTATTTTTGATAAAGGAGGCAAGAATATACAGTGGAGAAAAGACAGCCTCTTCAGTGAGTGGTGCTGGGAAAACTGGACAGCTACATATAAAAGAATGAAATTAGAACACTCCCTAACACCATACACAAAAATAAACTCAAAATGGATTAAAGACCTAAATGTAAGGCCAGACACTATAAAACTCTTAGAGGAGAACATAGGAAGAACACTCTGACATAAATCACAGCAAGATCCTTTTTGACCCACCTGATAGAGAAATGGAAATAAAAACAAAAATAAACAAATAGGACCTGATGAAACTTAAAAGCTTTTGCACAGCGAAGGAAACCATAAACAAGACCAAAAGACAACCCTCAGAATGGGAGAAAATATTTGCAAATGAAGCAACTGACAAAGGATTAATCTCCAAAATTTACAAGCAGCTCATGCAGCTCAATATCAAAAAGACAAACAACCCGATCCAAAAATGGTCAGAAGACCTAAATAGACATTTCTCCAAAGAAGATACGCAGATTGCCAACAAACACATGAAAGAATGCTCAACATCACTAATCATTAGAGAAATGCAAATCAAAACTACAATGAGGTATCACCTCACACCAGTCAGAATGGCCATCCTCAAAAAATCTACAAACAATAAAGGCTGGAGAGGGTGTGGAGAAAAGGGAAACCTCTTGCACTTTTGGTGGGAATGTAAATTGATACAGCCACTATGGAGAACAGTATGGAGGTTCCTTAAAAAACTAAAAATAGAACTACCATATGACCCAGCAGTCCCACTACTGGGCATATACCCTGAGAAAACCTTAATTCAAAAAGAGTCATGTACCGCAGTGTTCATTGCAGCTATATTTACAACAGCCAGGACATGGAAGCAACCTAAGTGTCCATCATCGGATGAATGGATAAAAAAGATGTGGCACATATATACAATGGAATATTACTCAGCCACATGTAGAAACGAAATTGAGTTATTTGTAGTGAGGTGGATGGACCTAGAGTCTGTCATACAGAGTGAAGTAAGTCAGAAAGAGAAAAACAAGTATCATATATTGTGGAATCTAAAAAAAAAAAAAGAAATGGTTCTGAAGAACCTAGAGGCAGGACAGGAATAAAGATGCACACATAGAGAATGGACTTGAGAACACGGGGTGGGGAAGGGTAAGCTGGGACGAAGTGAGAGAGTAACATCGACATATATACACTACCAAACGTAAAATAGATAGCTAGTGGGAAGCAGCCGCATAGCACAGGGAGATCAGCTCAGTGCTTTGTGACCACCTAGAGGGGTGGGATAAGGAGGGTGGGAGGGAGACGCAAGAAGGAGGAGATATGGGGACATATGTATAAGTAATAGCTGATTCACTTTGTTATAAAGCAGAAACTAACACACCATTGTAAAGCAATTATACTCTAATAAAGATGTTTAAAAAAAAAGGAAATGTCCTCCAGTTGTCACCCTGAAGTATGGGGCCAGACTCGCAGGACTGGAAAGTGACCACTGTGTTTTAGAGTGAGCACATATTATTTTAATATTTTTAAGGTGTTAGAAGAGCAACAGAAGCCTTTATAAATGTTTAGAACTAATTTCTACCTTTGTTATTGTTGATTTTTGTGGCCTACAAATATGCCTTTCACACATGCATATTGATCGAAAGTTAATGCTTATTTATAGATCTCTTTAAGCAGTTCAGCACAGTGCTTTGCCGAGAACTGATTGGATGATTAACAACCTGGCATATCAAAGTATGTGCATTTCCAAAGAAAAGTACTTCATGTCCACATTGGAAGCAATAAATTATTTTCCCTTTTTATTTTTTGCATTCATAATTAAATCTTTCCAAAGCTAGAAAGTAGCCAGCCCACTAACAGTATCTTTGTATCATGTTCTGGGGCTTAGATGGTTCAACCTGACTTGAAATGGAGACCATTTGTTCTAAATTGATTTCAATGCCAAGCCAATAGGTCAGTCCTTAATGATGAAGATGCCATTCCAGCCCAGCCTCTGGTGGATAAGCCAAAATTAATTAACTCAAGTCCCATAGTATAGAAAACAGATGCTTCTCTCGTGTTGCAGAAATAAATGCTTTGTGTATGGATGTGTTCTGTTTTATTCAAAGAATAACAAGTTAGAAGTTAAAATTGTAAGTTTTTCACAGTTGAGCCAGCCTTCAGTAGTGATGACAGAAGCATGAATTTATATAACAAATTCCAGCAAGAGCATGGAAAAATGAATTATCCCCTATATCTCTTATTTTGGCTCCAGGCCAGGCCTAGGAGATTTAGTTTTAAATCTGGACTGATCCAAGTGCTGATCCATTCCAGAGCAGACCTAGGAGTTCCAGAACAACACCAAGGTTATTTCTAATCCATAGGATCCCTGGAGACGCCTCCCAGAAGTGTACATCTGCATCATATGTTTGGATTCAGTTCTTTGGCCAGCTTGCAAATGGCTTAAGATTAGATTGTTCTCTAGAGGTATGTTGTTAGGTGCACTGTTTATCTGGTCATCTATCTAAACATTCATTCAGAATTACAATACTTGCTTTTCCTCAATTGTGGCAGGCTAAAGGTAGAATAATAACTGCATGGTTCTGATCTCTTCAGAATTAATGGCTGTTTGATAAGATAAAGATGTTACCATCTAGAAGTACAACTCCAAACTCAGTAAACAGAAGTCTTTCATCTGATAATGTCTGGTATTTTTCTCTTCTGAATAAATGTGAAATAATCCATGTTTGGCTTTCCTTTCTGTTAGACTGAAAATGATGAGAATGGCCAAGCAGAAAACTTTTCCATGGACCCACAATTGGAGAGGCAAGTGGAGACCATTCGCAACCTCGTAGACTCCTACATGTCTATTATCAACAAGTGTATCCGAGACCTAATTCCAAAAACGATAATGCATCTTATGATCAATAATGTAAGTGATTATAAACTGTCTCATTTTAACCTCTAACCCATCCTAGTGTGGAAATTGCTCACATTCTCTTCAGCTTCTTTGTGATATTTTCTGGATGGTCGAAATACCTATCACCTAGGTTTATCATTTACCATTACAAGTGGTAAGTGACTGACAAGTGGAAGAGAACTTAAGAAAGAAAACATAAAACTTCTAGGTACAGCACAGTGGTATTCCCTATTGGCTGTCTCCTCTAGAAGGGTGTGAATTTGCTTACAATAAAGCAGAGCAAAAATACTCTAGTCAGGGTATAAATTAGTTGCAAAGCCAGCAATAAAACCAGATACCCTGGCTCCTAGACTTTGAGTTTAAAGGCAAAAGATATTTATTCTCTTCTGCATACACACACATACTGAATATGGTAATATGATTATTTTCACCTTCTAAAAACTATGGAATGCTATTTTAATATGGGAAAGGGCTTTTTGCCCTGTCCCCTTGGCTACAAAGTCAACAGTTACCTTTTCTTTTCTAAGGTAAAGATGATAGAGCCACAGATCTCAAAGTGCCTGCTAGACTAGCCATCAGTTGATCTACATTGCATAGAATCTCTCCCTTTTCATGGTTATTTTTATAGCAGTCAGAAAATGATACTTAAATTACATGGTCTGGTTTGGTCCTTTTGTTAGCTACTTTGTTAAAGTATAAATAACATCACAATTTGTTTGCGAACTTACCTTTTAGATAAGATAGGCTATAATGAGGTGTTTTATAGCAGGCTTTTCTGACTCTTGAAAAGTGAGACACCAACGATTTTATTCCTAGTTATCTTCTAAGGACACCTTCTTATTTAAATCAATGGTATATTATGAGCATTTGCTTGTAACAAATAAAAATTAGATGGTAAAGTACTGAAAAGAGCCCCACACTAGAATTTAAGAGAAACCTGGATTCTATGCTTGGCTACAGACTCTGTTAACCTAAGACAAATCCTTAACTTATTTCTACCTATTTCCTCCAAATGTGAAATATGAATCATAGAAAAAGTACCTGGCTTAGGGATTTGTTCCACAAGTTAGTATATATGGAAGTACTATGAAAAGTATAATTGTAAGAAACTAATATGGCTGCCTACTTAAGAATTGTAAATAGCCATTATCCTTATATAAAGATTCCTTTCAAAATTCTAAGTATGACAATCCATTTGTTATTCATGATCTATGAGTTTCTTGACTTTAAGAAGCCCCAAACAGTCGCGGGAGCAATCTTGTTTTTAACTCACTCTATTTTTGTACACATTCCATTTATTCAAACAAGGTTAGTAGGATGCTTTGAAGCATCAGCAGGTAAGCAATGTATTGCAAATATATTGGAAACTATAAATTATATACTTAAGCTTGGTCAGTGGCCTGCTGTGTGACCTGAAGCAAATCATCTGGCCCCTCTGATCTGAACTCAGTCGCTGCTAAAACTACACTAAGAACCCTGAACTACCCCACAGAGTTGTCAGAGACCATCATAAGTGTGACTATATGCCATTTTGAAAAATATAAAGTACTAAGCAAATAGTCTATTTTTTTAATTACCCTCTTAACTTCACTTAAATGAGTTCAGGTTGTTTTGCCCATGGAATCCAGGCACTTGCTTATTTAAACATTTTCCTGATTAAGTATCATTTATCTTTTCACTGTTTTACTGAGAGTCATTAGTGCTGCCATCAGTTCAAACGCTGCCCTGCTCTGCACTATATTATATCATCAGCACAGGAAATAGCACTTCCTGTCTATAGCTGTGAGGAGTGGCTTGACATAAATTAGTTAAAAGGAAAAAAAAAACCTGTTGCAGATCTGACCTACTTTCACCTTCTCAAGAAACACACACACACACACACACACACACACACACACACACACACACACACACACACACACACACACACACGAAACGTGAGGGTAATTGCCCTCACTCCTCACTGGTGTGCTCACTTGCTTCATGAAATGGCAAAAGCCCCACCTACAGGGTATTATCCATGGAAGTAAAGTTCTGCTAATTGTCTCCAGGGAGACCTCACATAAGAGTCATGAGAAAGAAGACTTCAATTAAGATCTGATCTCCAAGGTCAAACCTTGAAGTAGAGATTAATAGGAATAAGGAGAAAGCAAAAACATTATGTAATGCTGGATTCTTATGAAGTTATGGTTATCTTTGTTTGAATTTAACTTTTCGTATCTACCAGAAAATAGTTTTACACATCTAGGATGACTGCTTTTCTTTGGGTATTATTTTATCCACTTTTTTACTACATATGTAAGAGTATATAGTTATATATATATATAATATATATTTTAAATCTATATATGTAATTATATATATCTAAAAATACAAATCCCTTTTTTTAAATGTACTCATATTCTCATGGCATTTTATTGTACAGAACGTCTGAGCCCTTTATGTTCATTCCAGAAGAATTTGTTCATTCCTGTTGAGTACAGGAACAGAAACACAGTGAACACCCAGCACTGTGTCATGCATATGTGTTGACTTTTTTTTAATTTAAAGTGAAGAGATCTTCAAGTGAGAGAATTAATCATAGAATCACAAGAAAACACATACTTGGACTCCTTATTCTGAATTCCATCCACTTAACCCTGCTGTTTCTACAAATGGTTGTGGGTGAGAAAGCTAGCTGTTCCTCCAGAACCAATAAATGCTTAAAGCCGGGTCCTCTATTTGTTGACTATCACTATTGAAAGTGGTGCTGTGGCCCTTCCTCTTTGAAATGGGAGTGACTACTCTGCCTTCTGAAAAAGAATATGTTTCAGCCAACTTTCATAAAGTTCAGAATTTGGTGGGCAGTTTCCTTTGAAAGTTTACATTAAGCGTTCTGCCACTCAAGTCTCCATATGGAATTGTTTAAGAAATTTAAAGCCAGCAATAAATGCCTCCCCTCAGACATACTGTAAGCCTTTGTCTATTGAAATGCAGCAGCTGTTTCACTGCTTAAACATACCAGGTAACAGCAGCGCAAAGAAATAGCAAGTTTACGACAGGCGGTTGTTCTAGACAGGCTACAGGCAAAGAAACAGAGTTTTGTTCTGTACATTAAAGAAAACACACATATAATGCCCCACAGCAAGCATATTTTGATGGCCTCTTCTCTGTAGCTCACACCACCAGAAGTTCTCCATCAGAGAATGAAGAAAGTGGATCCAGTTTTATTCGAAAAGTATTACTGGCTAAGGGGCACACAATTCTGTGTTTGAACAGAATAGCCACCTGCTGGGTACTCATGATTTTGTGCAGTTTCCAAATGAAGAAATTGAGGCCCCAAGAGGTTTAAGTGACTCGCCCAGAGGGTTCATTTTACTTGAAGATTTAATTAGGGTTTGTTTGAATATGAGAAACAATGTTTTGTATCTTAACTAGTAAGTAATTTAAAACATTGTTCCTCATATTCAAACAAACCCAGCTAATACAAAATAGAATGTAAAGTTTTTTTATGAAACATTTTAAGAACCAAACATGAAACTTAGAGGCATTTCACACTTGGAGCCTGTGCCCCTGTGTCCCTTGACCCCTGGAGGTCCAGGTTCACTCTCCTTGGCCACTGATACTTTGGTGGAAAATTAGTAACATGTGCCCTAGTTTCAAAACTTACTGTAACTTTAATGTGTGTGAAGTAGAGTGTTATTTTAAATGTTCATTATTTGAGGGAAAAGTACATCTTAAATGCCAGAGCACTGATTTGTTTCCACGGGTCAAGAATTCTGCATCCTGCTCAAGAAACAGATCCTGACCAAGACCCAGAAGCCCCACTCTTTCTCCCCCTCCCCTATCACTCCCCACCAAGGGTAACACTCCTGCTTTCTTACACTGTAGATGAGTTCTAACTGTTCTTGAACTTTGGAATCATACAGTACGTACTTTTTTGTGTGTCTATCTTCTTTTCTCGACCTTTGTGAGTCAAAGGATGTTACTTTTTTTTTTTTTTTTAAAGAAGGAAAACTTCGTTGGTCTTTACCAAAATGAAATCCCTCAGAAATGTAAAGCAGCCTTAAGCGGAAATGAGAGAATTGTGAGATCTCAAAGAATCACAAAATTCTACCCAAGTCCCTCTCTAAAACTAAACAAAATTAAACTTCTCAATTAAATTTTTATGTGCGTATTCACATGAATGAGAGTTATCACTGTCCCATTGTGTAGTTCCTCCTGTCTCAAAACAGAGATTTTAAGGAAATGGTCTCCTTAGTAAACTGAATTGTATGAAAACTCTATAAATGCCTCCCCTATTTGTGAAGGCTTTAAAATGGTTGTAGTAATAAAGACAAAGAAAGTTACAGATCCAAAAATACTGCAGGTTGCTAGAGAAGGGTTAAAGTAAGAAAGAGAGGAAAACATGTGGAACGTTTTTAATGACCTCACATTCCTTTACACTGAGCAGAACGACATGGTGCAGTAATGCCTGTTTATCTAGCCTGTAGAGTTTGAACTGGAATGAGGTTTTGTGTGTGAGAATTTTTTGGTGAACCACACAAAGATGTATAGGTTATAAGGTGTTATAATTAAAGGCATAAATATTATTTCAAATCTCACATCCAAGTATAATTAGTTTATGTCATGTTCTGTGAGGTATTTTCTAAATGCTATCATGTAAAAGGGATCCACTTGCCCTCCAATTGTGCAGAATCCTTGGTTTAAATATTTGTACCATTGACATACAAACTGCTCAGAAAGTCCCTGAAGTGTCTGGAAACTCCCCGAAGTCCCCCACCTTTGTTCCAGTTGTATCATTAGCAAGTGAGGCTACCAGCAGGAGAAGAGTCTTTCTAGAAGTTTTCTTAAGTGCAAAATAAAATGTTAACTTATGCTTTATGTTGAACTATGTCACTTGATGCCAGCACTGTTGCACTAACTTCCTAACTCTTCATACCTAATGCCAAGTTAGACTATATACTGTAAAAAGAATAGCTTTTGTTGATGGCGCACTGACTAAATGCTAGGCATCATGCTAGGCAATTTATATTCACTCTTTCACTGAATCCTTGTACCAACTCTTTTTTTTTTTTCCTTCCACCAACTCTTGAGGCGGCTCCTACCTTTAACCTCATTTTACAGATCAGGAATCTGAAACTCAAAGAGGTTAAGTTATTTGTCCAAGAACAATAAGTGTTAGAGCTAGGACTCAAATTCAGAGCTGTCTGATTCCAAAGAATATGCCCTTAACCACTGTGCTATATGGCCATTTTCTCTCATGCTAAAATTATTCATATTGTTTCAGAACATTGCCAAATCTGTTGGATAGTAGGCAACTATCCAACTATCCATCCATGTTACAGTTTTAGTGTGTAACATTTTGATGTGGAAGAGTTGATTCAAGGCAGATCTTTGATCAAAATGCTGAAGCAGGCTCTTACTATTTTATTTTGTGGTTTGTTTGACAGTTGCTTCTTAATTCAGATCTGCTTTAAATCTATTCTTGGAAGAATCTTCTTTTAAATTGTGTTTAATAGATTCTAAGTGATACTCCAGGAAGATGTAAAGCTTCAAAAGAGCTTAACCCAACTGATGGTCAATGCCAGGAAACTTGTCTGGTTTTGAGTTTGGAGTTGCATCATCTCTCCAAGTGGATACACACACCTCACAGTGGAAGATTTGTGCAAGCGTGCATGACTCCTTGGGTACCTGCAAGTGTGACTGGTAGTAAATAAATCTTCAAGGAGGTGAATGAAATATTTCTTAAGCCAAATTTACTATCTTCTCTAAATCTGACTTTCTTTGACTTCCCCTCACCCAAACCTCAATGCTTGAGGTGTCTTTGTTCCTTTCTTTGTTGCCCTTCACATCCAAACGGCACCAAGTCCTGTTGGTTTTTCCTTTATAATGTCATTTATATCTGCCCATATTTTCTATGCCACTTACTAAATTAAACCCTTATCATCTCATAAATGATCTGCAATGGCCTTCTGACAGATTTATCTCTACTACCACACTTGCAAATTATTTTCCAATCACAGCCAGATTGATTTTCCTAAAACTCTCTTTTATTATTTCACTTACTTGTTTTAAAAGCCTTCCATGGCTTTCCATTGCCAAGTGGATAAAGTTCAAGCACTTTTCCTTGACATTCAAGGCCTTGACACCTGGCCCAGGGTTATCTGGCCAAATTTACCTTCCACAGCTATCACACATAAACCTTCCCTTCCACCAGACAGTTGCCCAAATACGTCTTGCGTATTAGATTGCTTCCACATTTAAATCACTCCTGGTTTACAGAATATGTGCAGAGAACACTTTTTATTTCACCACAACAAAGCTGTGATTTAGCTGAATTTTCGATTAGTAGAATTATCTACATGGTTTGATACCTTCCAAAAATAGTGAAGCTATGTGTTTTAGAGTCTTGTCATCTCTGAGTAACAAATGTAACTACAACCCAGGAATTTTGAGCATCTGACAGGTGTTCTGTTGTCTGCTTGAATTAGTAACAATTAAATATACTGGACTTTGGCCTTTCTTAGAGCCAATGACTCTAGATAAGCACTAGCTTTCTCATTTTAACAGAGAAACTGAAAAATCCAAGTTGCTTTATTTTTCTAGGCTTAAGTTAATTGGCATACGTGTGCACCACACTAAAATAATAATGCTTAAACATAAATTATCTTTTCTAAGCACTCAAAGTGAGGCAAGGGGGTTAATGGAAAGAGCACTGGACTTCAAGTCAGAAGATTTGGGGTTCAACTTAATGTTGTGTGACTTTGGGCAAGTTACTTAAACTCTCTGAAGTCCATCCAGTTCCTTCATCTGTAAGATTGGGATAATAATATACGTTTCATAAGTATGCAGTGAGAATTTAAATCAGATAACTTGTAAAGGCACATTGGATTTCATTGATTCTCACATTCACTTTTTTTCACATTTAACATTTCTAACATGAAAATGCATGTTACACTCAATGACATCTTGGCATTCTGTTGTAGTTTAGTTGATGGTGTTTTTTCTTTCTTAGTGGCACATAAAAGACTGGTGTGTCTTAAAATCAGTGGTGTCTTAGACTTGATGAAATATAATGATTTGTTCTCTCTCCCTCAGGGCTGCACAACATATGCATCCTCTCCATTCTCATCCTGCCACAAATTGCCCCTCCCCTAAGACTCATGCGAATTGTTCATATTTTAGTTTGTTTTCATATATCTGTTAACTATGGAAGCTTATGTCAGTCCTCATCACTGTTAAGCTCTAGAAAGCAGAGAATATATCACTTTTTTTGGTAAATCAACTTGCATAATTATATACGATTCTGTATTTAATAAATACTTATTGGTGCTAATTCCACTTTTGAAACAACACTGAAACCTGGGGTCTTAATAGTATTCCAGTGATTTTGGTAAAAGCTAGGTAAAGGGCTGGGAATACCAAGGAAGGAATAACTTGTGTTATTACATAGGTATCTGTGTGTCATTGTTTCCTGTTGAAAATACCACTGCTTACCTCCTGGTACCTTCCCTTGTCTATATATAAGCCAAGCAGCCTCAGACAACATTGCAGAAATGCTTGTACAGCCAACAGGCCCTGTTCTGGCGATGGTGAGCTTTGGCCCTCTTTTCAACTAATCTATGTTTTTCTTTACTGTCAACAGCCATAATACAGAGAGGAAAACTGTTATTGGCATTGGGAGGATAATGAAGAAAATAAGTGTAAATAGATGCACGATGCATCCCTTTTCCCAGAGCGGACTTTTGTGGCCTTTGTCCACAGGCTATGAACCAGTTTATCATTCAGTCACTCATTCATTCCCATTTTTTACTTTTCTGTGGTGACCCGGCAGGTTAAGGATTTCATAAATTCTGAGCTCCTAGCACAGTTATATTCTTCAGAGGACCAAAATACTCTGATGGAGGAATCTGCGGAACAGGCTCAGCGCCGGGATGAGATGCTTCGAATGTACCAAGCCCTTAAAGAAGCCCTCGTGGTCATCGGTGACATCAACACAGCCACGACGTTCACGCCCGCACCGCCGCCAGTGGACGACTCCTGGATCCAGCATTCCCGCAGGTAGGAAGATGGCTCCACATCACCGGAGGCCTCCCAGCTTGTCCAGTGTCATTTTCTGAATGTGCTTCCCTAAACCAGTATGAACCTAAAGAAAAAAGAGGAAAAAAGATATTTAAGTCCAGGAGCTAGAGAGAAGGTCAGATGATCCCAACCGCTTTCAAAATCAAGCACAAAATCGTTGGAAACGCCTCATAGATTAACTGTGTGGTTTCCTTTACTTATAGAACTACCTGTTAGATCTGTGGGAAAGAACTACAAGACAGAGCTGCCAAGTAAACTATGAAAAACCTAACAAACTTTTTATCTTAGGTATTGGCATATCCCAATGATCGGTACTGTTCTAGGGTGTGATGGCTTAGGAGTGAATATGATTTGAACCCAGTACATTTTTAGAGGGTGTCAAATTCAGAACCAGGCAGATCCATCTCCTGACCCTAAACATGGTCCTAAAGTAAATCACTTGAGGAAATTGTATCCCAAAGATTACAGGTGGGGAATTTTAAAGTGTGTCCATATTTCATTGGAGATCAAAGAAGCCTAACTAAAAGAATTGTGGGCTGACTTACATGATAACTTCTTTTTGAAAGGGCTGTTTTATCTTGAAGATTATGAGTTTGGAGGAACTAAGGTGATTGGCAGTGGAAAGAATCAGAACATGTGAAATTCCTTAAAAATTTATTGACTTAAATAACTGTTACACATAATTAAAAAAAAAAACCTTTACACTTAAAAAAAAATCAAGCACAATATATCCTTACATTGGAACGTTATACAGCCATTAAAAAGAGTAAGTTCTTTAAGTAGCGGAATGAAAACACAGGCCAGTTAATGTGAAGCTTAAAAAAAACATGTTAAGTTGTAGAACATTGTGTACAAAAAAGCAATGTATGTATATATATATGTATGTATATATATATATATATATATATATATATATATATATAGAGAGAGAGAGAGAGAGAGAGAGAGAGAGAGAGAGAGAGAGAAAAGATATTGCAGAATATAGTTAAAAAGGATACCCGGGAAAAGATGTTGGTTGTCTCCACAGAGCAAGGGGGGAGAGGAGGGAAACTTTCTTTTCACTATTTACCCTTCTATTACCGTTTAACATCCCTAACACGTGTCTGAGTTAGTGAGAAAATACTTTTAAAAAAGCAGTCAGTTATAAAATATTTTTTAAGGATGAATTCCAACGGAGAGGTGGATGGGCAAACTGCTGTCGGTCTCTGCCCCCAGGTCCCCGCCTCCAAGCCCCACCACCCAGCGGAGACCGACGCTGAGCGCGCCCCTCCCGCGGCCCACGTCCGGCCGCGGGCCCGCACCTGCCATCCCCTCCCCGGGACCCCACTCGGCAGCGCCTCCAGTGCCCTTCCGGCCTGGCCCGTTGCCTCCTTTCCCCAACAGCAGCGACTCGTTCGGGGCACCTCCACAGGTTCCATCTCGGCCCACCAGGGCCCCTCCGAGCGTCCCAAGGTGAGTGTTCTGCGCGAGGCCGAAAGCAGGGCCATGCTCATCGGTTCTCTTCTCATAGCCTGACAGACAAAATTGATTTGGAAAAGAAAATGGTAAAGATACTGTCATAACACGTTTTCAGCTTTCCCTCCGGGAGGGGGATCATGGGAAGATTGCTGAGCCTGTGACACCATTTAGAAACCAGTATATGGCCTAAACCTCTCCTTTCTCAACTGGCACAAACTAAATGGGACCAAAGAAACCTGGGTCCAGATGAATGACGTTTTGGCAGCTGTTTGTAGAATTTGACGGAGACCTTTGAAATGAAAGAGCTGTGGCTGGGTTTGCTGCAAGCTGTGTGCTCCCTAGGTCACAAGAGCATCACCAGCTAAGGCCTGGCCTTCTCTATTACCAGAGGAATTCTAGAAAACCACTGACTTCAAGGAATATTATCCATCTGCCCTCTGAACTTTGACCCTTAAACCCAATATTATTAACTTTAATGTAGGCTGAGTAAAAATCTGGCTGGTTAATCTGTGATTGTTTTTTAAAAAGCTATGCATAGAAAGTTTAACACAGACATATAATTGCTGTGTGCAGTCACTGATCATATATAAGATAGAACATTGTACATTTGAATAATACATTTGGCATTTGTAAGCAGATTGTCAGGCTTAACTGTGAAACAGAATAGCTAATAAATAAGTAGAATTTGAAATATGTATACATATAGTTTATGGTCAATACATTTATGGTCAATATACTAATTAGAGATTTTGAAAATAGAGGGAATTAGGGTTTTTTCCCTCAACATCAGAACTTTAAAAATGAAAGAAAACAGCCCATACAGAAAGTTAGTGTTTTAGAAGTTCAATTCAGAGGATTAAAATATTTGTATACTCCATGAAGGAAAACCTTACTATGCAGGTGCCATAAAAAGAGACGTGAGTTCTGCCCACCCATGAAGCCTGAGTCACCTCACCCTCTGATTTCAGTACTTACATTTATTTTGATCTTCAGGCTGTTGGGTATAATGAAGAGAAGAAGGGGCATCTTAACCCACTAAACAAAGGGAAGTGTAGGGGGAATAGAAGGAGATGTGCAATCAGAAGACCTGGTTCGCCACAGGCCTTGGGCCACTCATTTAACTGAGCCAGGAGTTCCTCATCCATGAAATAAAGATATAACAAGGATGTGGCCCAAATCATATGAGACAAGGTATTTGAAAGAATCTCACAAACTGTAAAGCACTGTGGCTATTACTGCCATCATGATTTTGGTCCCCATCAAAGAGGATATATGTACTCTCAAACCTATGTATTTTTTTTTTTTCTAACCTCAATAGGTTTGGCTTATAATTTGTTTGGAACTGAGCTGAATTTCTGGTAATAATAGTAACAACAGGTAGTATTTATTGAGCTCTCAATGTATGCTAGGCACTGTCCTAAGAGCTTTGCAGGTACATTTTTGTTTAATGCTCACAACAACCCCATGAGATAGGTTATTATCTATTTTACAGACAAGGCACAGAGGTTAAGCAACTTGCCCAAGGCTGCTCAGCCAGGACCGAATCGATCTGGGCTTTAATCCCAAGCAGTCTTGGGGTTTCTCCACCTCAACACTACTGACATTTTTGTTGTGGACATTGTGCTATGCGTTTTGGGATGTTCAGCAGCATCCTGGCATCTACCTAGTGGATGTCGGCTGCACTCCCTCAGTTGTGACCACTAAGAATGTCTCCAGACATTGCCACTGGGGGCAGGGAGAGAGGCGG